CTAGCTTCTTTCCCTTTGGACGCCACCATGCTTAAGTGTATGATCACAGTAGAGTTCAAGTTTGGGGTAATGCTTGAAATATTCCCTACAACTTTATTTCATTTATGTACCAATTATATAAAATTACTTTCGAAGCTTTATATTAGTCTCATCTAAAATTTGCTACAAATAATTTGTAATAGTTATCTTGAACATTAAAACCTCTTCTTTCAACTCGATAAAGAGTATGATACATGAATGACTTGATATTGACCCAATAATAAGGTAAAAACTCAATAATAAAATAACTCTACTTTGAAAATAACCTTATTTGAATATGAATTGGGTCAACTCGATTAAAATCCAGCCAAACACATAAAGGAATTGAATTGAAAGTAACCAATTAATGAATCAACGGATCAACCTTATCTTAATCAAATCGAACTTGACTGAACCAAATTCATCCGAACCGAAATCAACCCGACCCAAATTCATCCGACCCAAAATTAACTCGGCTAAACCCGTTTTGAACCCGATCCGAATTTATCAAAATCGAACATGAACCGATCAGGAGTTGACTCGACCCATATCTGACCCGAACTCGATAGATCATGACCTGAATTTGATCTGACCCGAATTTAACCCGATCCGATCCGAATTAAAAGAATAATTTTGACCGGACATATCCGACCCGATAGACCCAACCCAAACACCATCCGATTATCTAAATTGACACCTCTACACGTGAGCTCGATAGGTTCACATTGGGCGAATGGCCTCAATCCGAACAATAAATTCGTATAACACGGACTTACGTTATTTTTATTGTAAAACAATCAATTTAAAGATAACTTTAAAAATTTCAAGGATACTTTTTAATTTGTGATGAGTTTAATTGTATTTACTAGTTATTTACCGGAGCAATGCTTGGATTTTCACAGAAAAAAATTTATAACCTAGGGCATGTTGTCATTGACTGAACTCAGCTGAACTGAACGTATTAATTACTGATTTTTAACTACAGATTAATGATCTTGATTATTTATTATTATATACATGTGTATAAACATATATACATAATAAAATATTTAAGAAAAATATACTATATAATTAAAATATTTAAGAAAAATATATTTAAAACATGGCATCCCAAAACATTTTAAAAACATATACTATATAATTAAAATATTAAAATGACAAAAGAATACAAAACACTTTTAAAAATTATCAAAATAAATAATAATAATAATAATAATAACAAAACTATATATATATATATATATATATATATATATATATATATATATATATATATATATATATATATATATATATATACGGGAGGGTTCCGCTAAAAACAGGGCTTATGGTGAAAACTAAAAACAGCAAATCTCAGCCATTGATTATTAATGATATAATCTAACGGTTGTAATACAAGGTACACAAAATCTTAGCAAATCTCAGCAAATCCTCTGTTAATTTTGCTGAAAAACGCAAAATCTCAGCAAATCTCGGCAAATCCTCTTTTCATCTCATTATCAAATCGTCAATTCCTCAATTCGTCAAATTTTAGGGCTACTTTGATTATTTACTCCCAAAATTGAGGGCTCGTGATTCTTCAATAATTTGGGGCTTCCTCAATGATCTTAGTAAGTGTTCTTCATTCTTTAATTTCTGTTTTTAGCTGAATTTCTAGTTGATTGCGGCTTACAATACCGATATAACTGTGATTATTTCCTTGTATATAAGCTGAATTTCTTGAATTTCTATTTGATTGCGCATGGTAGGTTATTTCCTTGTATGTGATTATTGTAGACTGTTTTTATAATAGTGCTCTGTTTTTTAGTTTCAATCTCATCAACTTGTAGTTTCAATCCTCATCAACAATATGCTCTTTTTTCGTTTTTGTATAAATATTTGCAATATATATATATTTTTTTTATATTAAAGTTTTTTTTTCCTGGATATATGATATTAAACACTAGGAGAAATTGTTGCACATAAGGTGTTTGTGTATTTGCTTAAATGACTAACACCTTGCTTAATACCATATAGTAACTCTTTTTTATGATACCATAACCATATATTTTAGACTGTTTTTGTTGGTGTCCAGTTAGTTGCACCATGGAATGGATTATTTTATTATAGTACCCATTTTAAACCATATATTTGATATTATATGCAGACAATGCAAGAGGAGTCAGAAGAAGGTAGTTGCTCAAATACATCTACAACTACCAATGTTGCTGAAAACTTACCGTCACTAAAGGGCCCAAGTGTGTGTTACACTCCTAGAGGAACAAAAGAGTTTATACCGTGTTGTCCCCCTGAACTAAAGCCTACACTTGGTATGCTTTTTGATTCCTTACTTAAAGGTGTTGATTTTTATAAGCAATATGCTAGATTTGGCGGGTTTGTGGTAAGACTAGGTACTGAAAAGAGAATTAAAGATAGTGATAAAGTCTACTTGAAATATTTACATTGTAATAAACAAGGGTTTACGAAGGATGGTGAAACTAAAGCAAAAGTTTCTAACAAAGATAAAAATCCTAAAGCTAGAAAAAGAACCATAAATCGTGTTGGATGTAATGCAATGATTGGGTTTAGAGAACGTTCAGATGGAAAATGGATGTTTTATGTCTTTCATGAATCTCATAGCCACAATCTTGCTTCTCCCAACACAATGAATTTTTTGGCAAATGTTGGAAACCTTAAACTTGGCCAGAAAAAATTCATTTTTGACAACTCTAGATTGAACATTGGTCCAAACAAGTCTTATAAGTTGATGAAAGAACATCTTGGTAGCTATGATAATATAGGTGCAACATTGAATGATTTCAAGAACTTTAATCGAGACTTGAAAGCTTACATACAAGAGAAAGATGCTTCGATGTTTATAAACAATTTGAAAGAAAAAGCTGAAAACAGTGAAGGTGCCTTTTTCTTTGAGCATTGTATGGATGAACATCAACGCTTGACAAGAGTATTTTGGGAAGAAGAAGGGATTGAGCAATATAGAATTGTTGACAACACAAGGAAAAAAAGCTATCATGTCACATATGTTTTGTGTTCTAATGATGCTTCATGCTCTTGTAAAATGTTTGAATCTGTTGGAATATTATGTCGTCACATTCTCTTTGTCATGAAAGGAAAGTTCTTATTTGAGATTCCAAGGCAATATGTTTTACATCGTTGGACTAAAGAAGCTATGAAGAAACCAATTTTTGGCTTAAACAACTTGCTTGATGGGGCAGAGAAGGATAAGAAGCAAAAGCTAGTTGGTGATTTATGGTGCAGGTTTTTTTCATGTGTAAGTCTTTGTGAGGAGAAAGTTGAATGCCTAGAGTCATTGTTGTCTAAGCTAATATCTTTTGAAAATGAGATGAAAGACTTGGATTCTATAAGTCCAGTTGATAAACGTGAGGCAAAAAATAAACACATCGAATTATTTGTTGGATCTAATGACATAGTTGTTGATATTCTTCCTCCAAACAAGTCTTCCGACAAAGGTAGTGGTAGTGGAAAAAGGAAAAAATCTGACAAAGAGATAGCTATTGAGGAAAGCCAAAGGAAAGATAGACTTTGTAGAACTTGTGGTCAGAGAACAAACCATGATAGTCGGAATTGTCCGCAAAAAAATCCAACTTGAATGAGGTATTTTTGTAGAAAAAAATAAATAAATTTTGTACTATGTTTACTTCCCACTAGATTTTCACTTTATATATGTTCGTGTACATGATTTCAGGATTTCAAAGAAGAGTAGAAAGGCTGCAAAACCACTTCATATTTACAAGAAGCAACATCGGCTACTGACAGCCTAGTGCTGAAATAGAGGAGATAAGAGGAAATAAAGAACATAGTGCTATAGTGCCATTTTTATTGATATAGTGATTGTTATTGTTTCACATATATTAAACAGGGACCTTTTATTGTTAAAATTTTATTGATAGGGTGACCTTTTATTGTTAAACTTTTTATTGACCTTTATATTGTTATTTTGATGTAGTGACATATTGGCATATGATAACTTCAATTTATATTATAGTATGTGTTTTTAACGTCATAGTGACTTTTTTTCATCGTATTGACACCTTATTCCGTGATAACCTTTTTAGTGATATAATGACCTTTATTATGATATAACAACCGTATAAAAAATACTCACATTTTAACAATTCTTCTAATCCACATCGATTAAGCCAATACAAAGTTAGGGAAGGAGGGGCTCGTTCTTTTAATTGATATACTAAATGAATAGCTTAAGAATAGATTAATATAAATACGACACTTTTACCTTACATAGTGACCTTTTATTTAAATAGAGACAGATTATTATAGAAATCTTTTTTATCACATAGTAACGCTCTTGCATCTCATAGTGATCCTTTTGCATCGCATAGTAATTGGAAATTTTTACCTCATATAATGCCATTTTACTTACATAATGACTATAAAAAGTAATATAATATCCTTTTTCAAGTTTTTTTTTTCTTTTTTAAGAGATAAAAAAAAGTTAGACATTTTTAGGTACATATTTATCATAGGTCCTTTGAAAACTTGTCACATATGTATACAAAATATAATAATGAATATGGTGATAATTTTGCATTATAACTTAATTATATATAACACATTGAACTAATAACATTTTAAATACATAGTGACCTTATAATATAGAAACCTTTTAAATAACATAGATACCTTTTTAAATACATAGTGACCTTATCATATAGAAACCTTTTTAAATAACATAGGCGCCAAATTTATAACTAATATATATTTCACTAAACTTCTTGAATGTCAATTAAAGATTACATATCAAAAGAACTACCAATACCACCAATTCAAAAGCTTTGTATGAACTGGAATCATATCATATTGTTCTATATTAACACTTATACAATTTTGTTAGATTATCCATTTGTTGATGCAAACTACATCATTACATTAGATTTCCTACTTCTGTGCAAAATACAAATACTTCCGAGCAAAAAACTTCATCCACATATTCGTTAGTCTGCCTATACTTTCTTTTCCTTTTTACCTTGCTTTGTTTTCTTCTTAATCCCATCAAAAACCTCTTTTGCAACTTGACTCCTTATTAATCTGAATTCAGATAGCTTTTCAAGAACTTCATCTCTGACAATGTTCATATCAGATAATACCAGAGTAGCAGCAATCTGAGCTCTCAATGTCCGTCTAGTTGAAACCTAATATATTAATTTAAGCAAAAATTAGAATAAAAAGCTAGTTAAATTCCATGGAGGAAATAGTTAATATAATAAAAATTGAAAGCCAAATAAAAAAAATGAGACGAGATAACCGTTTTCAAAACATCGCAGTCGAACACATCAGCTCCATCAAAGTAAAGCATGCTGACCATAGTATAAATGCCACTATCATTATTCTTCTGTTTTCCAGACTTCCAATTTACAGAAGGTGACTCCAAAGTATACTCAATCATGTTCTTCACTGAGTCATTACTTTGAGGAAGGCGTTGATCAAGAAAAGTACTCAGCATATCACTCTAGGCAAAATAAATTAATACTTTAGGTTCCATGAAGCATATCCTAACTAGAAAAATACAAATAAAATCCAAAATATCATATTTTTACCAGAACATCAGAGAACTTCTCAACCTCACTCATGTACTTTGTATCATAACTCATATTATCAATGAACTGAAGCTTTTCTTCCTTCAAATTCACAACAATTAGGAAAAAGTGCTCATTCAAGAGTATAGGAACAAATATCTGCAATAAATAAATAAACAACTATTAAGCTTGAAAAACTTAATATAAAAGTACTTAGTTGAAAAATGATTGTCAACATTTGCAATGTATTACCAACTCAACATTTGCAATATCAAAATCATTGCAAGGAATGAACAACCATCTTGACCAAATGTCAAATAGCTTGTCAATGTCTTGTGTGTTACTATCTGTGTTTGCAACTTTCAGTAAAAAAGCCTAAAAAAGAACAAACATTAATAAATATTAAAAAAAATTAGAAGGTAGAGTTATTTTTCTTAAATGTAATTACTTGCATTACATAGTGACTGTTTTCATTGCATAGTGAAATTAATTTATGAATCATAGTGACTGTTTTCAATACATAGTGAAATTAATTTATGAATTTTTTATAATGAACAACTACCATTATAATGATGTAGTAACTAAATAGCCGAAAGATACTTACACTTTGAGAAACACCAAAATATAGTTTTTGAGGTCCATGTGCACTACTCTTCTGGTTTTCATTAAGCAACATAGCCCAACAATCAATAATAACAGAAGATATAGCAATAGCCGGTGCACCTAATGAAAGGAATTCATTCCTTGTAATCTCAAATGGTTTGCCAAAAGATACCAACACCTCACTGTACAAGGAAATAAAAAGACACATGTATATTAACATAGTCACTTATTATTAAAATTTGAAAATAAATAACAAAAAGAACAATGACATGACTTACTTGAGATCGAAACCATGATAATCACTAATGCAGTAGTCAACAAGTTCCTGGACAACTGCATCCAAAACCTTCATATCCTTATTACTTGACTTCATATATTCAGTTACATATGTAACTTTATCACCAAAGAGACTAACATCCATAGCAAGGGAGCATTTAGATTTTCCATTACTCAAAACATGCTCAAAACCTATCCTTGGAACCTCACCAACTACAACATTAATCTCTTTTGCAGGTGCACCATTATCATCAATATCATCATCATCCAAACCATTAGGCACTTTGCTTACCCAATTTACAAGAGACACAATCTCATCAACAATTTCATGAACACGAGGATTCATAAAGAATAAATCAGTTTGGGACATTGGAGGTGTCGAAGTTGAAGCATCATTAGATTTACGAGTCTGAAATAACACTTTCAACTCATTCATGTAGAAGTTAGATACCACTTCTAAATCTCTTTTCATGAGCAAAAACTTCTCGTAAACTTCCTGTGAAAAAAAAATGTAGCACTTAGATTTAATAAAATAATTTGTGACAAAAAAAAAAAAAAAAAAAAAAAAAAAACCAAACAGACAGACATAATTAAAGGGTAAAATACTTACATCAATAGCAATTGAACGAATTTCCTCATTAGACATTGAACTGGCAGGTAGCTCAAACTGAATAACACCCTTAACATTGCTACGGACACCTTCATAAACAACAGATTCTTTTCCAGAAGTTTGATTCACAGGAGCTTCCTTGAATTGATTACAAACAACTTGTCCATCCTCAAATTGCAACTTCTCACTCACTGGATATGTATCAAACTCAAGAATTCCACACCCAAAACCCTTGGACAACTTTTCATTTCTAATTCTATCTCTTATATCCACATCAGTCCAATGTTGAATTAAAGGTATTGTAGAATTTAACACAACATTCCTAAACCTCAATCGATGAAAATAGATAATCTCTAACATCAAAACACAACCACAAAACCATTCTATATTTCCTTCTTTGTAGCTCTTCACGGCTTCACAAAGTCTATCTAAGACATATTTTGACCAATTATAAATTCTTATTTGATTAACATCAACCAAACATTTTACAATTCTCAAATCCACAGTTCTGTTGGACGTAGGTGCTAAAAAACTTGAAAAAGCATGCATGATAAAAAGCTGTCTGAATTCTTCCCCGCCATCTACTAGTAAAGGGATCTTAGATTCCAAAAAACCCACAGGAATCTGATCATTCTCACCCATAAGACCAAAATGAGACCTCCATTTAACCTTTAAATCATAATCAGGGTTGATGACATTAGCACAACGAGAAATTTCTTCAACTTTCTTAGATGTTTTGCAAGGAAGGCAAAAAACATCATACACATCAAATTCAGTCACAACAAAATCTTTTTTACCATCAATAGTAAACATGCAGCTACCATGATCAAAACAATCTACCAACCATGATAGCATATCAGTTGCAGTTCGTTTCACCTTCAAAGATAACAAACCTCCAAAGCCAATTTCTTTAACAGCCTTGATTTGATCATCTGAAAAAGTTTTAATCATCTCTACTAATGAAATGGCCTGCAACGTGTTTTAAATCCTCGTTGCACCCTGTAACAAGACATACGAAAAGATAAACAAAAGAAACCAAAATAGTAGCCTCTTTTTATAGCATAGTGACCTTTTTTTAAAACAAAACTTCAAAAAAAAGAAACAAATATTCACTTACATATGTACATCACTATCTATGATTGCAGATTCTTGCCTATGAATCACAATGTTCTTATCCTTATTTGCCTTCACTTTCTTCACTTTAAGACCTTCATTTTCATCCAACTTTCTCTTCTTAGCTGGCAAAACAATAACATGTGAAGAAGAAGACTCATTCCCCTTCTTTCCTTCCATCACAGTTGACAAAGGTATAGCATTCTCAATGTTAGAAGGTTTCTTTTTCTTAGTGATAGCTTTCTTTTTCAATCCTTTTTCAATACAAGCATCTTTATCTCTGTTAGTATCATCATCGATCATTTTGCTTCCACCATCAATATGCTCTTCATCTTCATGATCGAGATTGATACATGCTAAAAACACGCAAGCATATAGTTATATATACAATTATCTTCATTTTCATCTAGCAAACAATTATAATATAGCAAACTAATAACTTAAAAATAATAATCATTGTCATTGATATAGTGACCTTTTTCAGTTACATAGGGAACTAATAATATAGTAACTTTTATATTAATATAGGGACCTACATTCTATAGTATTAGGAGACTATCATAATAGAGCAACTAGTATATTAAGGTTAATAATCCAAAAATCAAACATTCATCATACCTCCTGTATCTTTCAATTTAACTCCTCCTGTTGAGCTACGAAGGCCTCTCCTTTTTTTAAAAGTAGCACCACCTCTAGTTCTCACCATAGGAATAAAATCTAATCCAAATCGAATGAAAATCCTTGTTGCACCCTGTAACAAGACATACGAAAAGATAAACAAAAGAAACCAAAGTAGTTGCCTCTTTTTATGACATAATGACCTTTTTTTAAAACAAAACTTCAAAAATAACATAGTCCAACACCCCTCCAAAAAGATTCAGTTTATTTTGGTTTGGTTTAGAACAAGTTCAGGTCATATTCATATTTATGTCTTTTGACAACCAATTTGTTTACGAATAAAAAAATCAATTCAGGTCAGGTCAGGGCAGTGAAAATCAGATCAAACTAAGGTATCCAAATCCTCGAATTCTGGCTACCTTGATTCAAGTTCAAAACAGGCCTAATTCAGAAATTTTGAAGCAAAATCCAGTACAGAGTCAAATTAACCATGCACATATGTCAGACTAGAAGTACACTTTTCAACAGTCAAGAAAGTCATGTAGATGTCGATTTAGCATGATCAGAAGCAATCTATCACAAATCCACCCCAGATGTCTGTAGCTCCTGGGTTAGTCGCTTAAGCAGTCTGCTCAACACCAAAAATCGGACATATAGAATCAAAGTCAGTATCTTAAACCAGGAAGCATTCTTCATACTTTATGTGCTTTCTTTCTTTCTTTCTTTCTACGGTTGATGTGGAAAGAGTCTTTGCATCAATATCACAAACACCAGAAAATTTATCTAAGTGCAAAAGGCAAATAATTCATGTAGGAACCTAATGACATTTGATGCAGCTGAAACCACTTCAAATCACAAATAAGAAAAGACAGGTTGTAAGAGAGAAACACAACAGCATCAAGGAACACCAATGCAACCAAGGCAGTTAGTCCATCTCCAAACATGTCACCATGTTGGTCAGGTCTCAATTCCAGATCATCATTAGCAAGAGATTGATGACCATTCCTGTTGCCTACACCAAACGGAACACGGGAAAATACAAATCGAGTTGGACACCAAGTGGAAGCAGGAACCAGTGTAGCTAATTTATGTCTCCAAACTCTCACTAATTCACTCACAAATCCACTAAAAACACTTCAAATTACTCAAAATTCGAATTAACTACTCCAAACTCTCACTAATTCACTCACAAATCCACTAAAAACATTTCAAATTACTCAAAATTCGAATTAACTACTCCAAACTCTCCCGAATTCACTCACAAATCCACTAAAAACACTTCAAATTACTCAAAATTCGAATTAACTACTCCAAACTCTCCCGAATTCACTCACAAATCCACTAAAAACACTTCAAATTACTCAAAATTCGAATTAACTACTCCAAACACAAACACACACACACAATTCGCATTTTAGCTATTCGCATTCCTAACAGGCATTAATTCGAAATCAAAATCTACAAAAATCAGCTAAACTCGAAATCAACAAAAACAAAATTATGCTCAACAATAATCGTGTTACTAAGAAGATGAAGAACAACAACAAAAGCAGAATTTCGAGCAAAAATACACATAAAAACCTAGTTTACTTAAATTAAGAAAAATTAAACAAAATACATTTAAAAAATACTTCTACTAAAACGAAACTTAAGTTGAAATTCAAAAAATCAAATCAAATCGAAAAAATAAAATAAAAAAACTTGCAAAATTACAAAATTAAACAAAAATCATACACGAAAAACATAATAGACATTAAATTTTCGGTTGAATCTACAAAAAAGTACTCATGAAATTCCAGCAAACAAAATTTCAGAAACCTAATAACCTCAAATCGTGCAAAAATAGCGAAATTACCACAAAGAACTCACCTGATAATAGATCGTAGAGCTGAGAAATTGCTAAAAATCAAAGTAATTGAAGCGGTGTTGCTGAAGGAGTTCGCTGATGGTAATTGAAGCGGTGTTGCTGAAGGAGTTCGCTAATGTCGAGAAATTAGGAGAGAGAAAGTGAAGAGAGAAGGAAGAGGAGGAAGAAAATAACAGAGGAAAGAGAAAGTGTTTTCGCGGGAGGAGAGAGAAAATTAGGATATATATACATTAAATATCATCCGCTAGATTATAATCTACGGCTGGGATTAATTGTTTTCATGTTTTCACCCTAAGACTTGTTTTTACATGATCCTAATCCTATATATATATATATATATATATATATATATATATATATATATATATATATATATATATATATATATATATATATATAAAACTGGAACAAAAGCAACAGAGCCAATGGTCATCCCTTCTCTTTATTATTCCCATTAATACAAGGCCTAACCCCAAACCAACTTTAATTTCTCTCTCTTCGTCCCTTTTTCCTACCTCCCATAGTCCTCTAGATCCAACCACAACTGTTCATTATCGTTGTGGTTTGTCGAAGTTGCCGATCTCAGCCAGCTCCGTAAAGGGCCCATCACATTAAAGCTCAATTAAGTTATAATCAAGGCCCCAAATTATGTAATTAGAAAAAAATAAATAAATAAGTACTCCATGTAATTCTCAACAATTTTCAAAGTAGATTAAAGTCATTAAATACATCATTTAGTTTTCTATAATTAAATTTATTGAATATTTTAAAATTTTAATTTCTGGAGTAATACAGACTATACAGTACTCTTAGTATCTCTTTAAATTAGTTTTTACAAAACCTACCCAAAGTCAAAGTAGTCCTTAATAAATATGCTAATTAACTATGAGTATCTCTTAAATTTTCAATGCTGGGTAATATCAATTCTGTTTGGCTTCGACTGTCTATCGTCACTCTCTCATCAATTCAAATTATGTTATATTTTCTAATAGTTCAAGTTTATGTTCAATTTATCAATTTGTTCATTTTAATACTTTTATTTCTTGTGTTTTGTTATATAGTTAATATAATTTGTTCAAAAACATAATTAATACTCCGTATAATTTGTGTTTGATGATTTTAATTTAATTATGTAAGGTTTTTATTCGACAAATTGAATTTAATCAAGAAAAATAAAATAAGCAACAACAATTAGTTTCATTTAGTTTGTTTTCTTTTTCTTTGGCGTTGAATAAAATGATGAATAGAAGTATGGGACAATGACTTCTTATTATTTGATCTTATGAATAAAACAAATGATACTACGGAGTACTTTGTATCTTTTATTTTTCAGATTTGATATTAGAATTTTGGAGTTAAAATTGAAATGGCTAGGCTTTTTTCTTCAACAAAAAAAATAAAAAAAATGAAATTATAAAATACGAGTAATTTTTTGTAGTGCAAATAAAATACGAGTAATTTTCTTTGGCGATTGCCCCTCGTGATCACCCAAAAAAAAACTTATTAATTAGGGCCTCATATCATATATTCGCCCCAGGCCACCAATATCTCAGAAACGGGCCTAATCTCAGCTCCAGTCCTCTACTTCTCTGCTCAGCGTCGAGTGTAGGAACCATTTGAACAATGAATTTTATTATAATTACTAGTTTTGTGCCCCGTGCGATGCCCGGGTTGTTCATTGAATTTTAAGATAAAATTTTATTCTATTTATCAAATTTTAACATATATAATTGATATAAAATTAGTTAGGAATTGATGTGCTTTTGTGACGATTTGTGGACATGTAATGCATAATAATAATGTTAGTGGCATGGAAATGTTCGATTTAATACATTAAAAAAAATTAAAAATTAGCAAAAAATATATTAATTAAATAAATGTTCAAATCCTGTTGGGTTGACCCGAACCCAAAACTTTGGGCAAGGGTTGAACAGTTCTTGACTCGTAACCTGAAGTGACCCAATCCGATATTACTCATGACCCGACCCTAATTAAAAAGTCTACACTAGTTATAAAATTCTATTAGATTGTGAAGTATATCATTTTAACCGATTAGTATATATTATAAATATAATTCAATTTGTACATTTGAAAAATTGGTATTTTATCGAAAATAAAACTCTAAACTAACATTTTTATCATAAAATTCTATCCAAATATTAAACAATTTTTTTTATCTTTTGAATTCTATTTAAATCTATCCAACGTGGCACGAGACTTGGCGAAAAGTTGGAATGCCAAGTGTCGTTGTCTCGTGGCCTGGCTAAAAGTTTAGCTTTATGTATTAGTTTTATTATTATTATTATTATTATTATTATTGTTATTATTGTTATTATTATTATTATTATTATTATTATCGTTGTTGTAATATAAGTTTACAAGTATGAAATTTGGCTTTATATCATTAGCAATATCATTAGACATAAACTGAACTTAACTGAAATGAAAATAATCTAATGAGAACAGGCTCTTACTATAAGATTGTATATACATTAAAATTAAAGGTTGAAGAAAACGAAATTTGAAATTAATCTATGGTTATCAACAATGGTGATGAAGGAATTAAATTAAAAACAAAATAATGAATGAATTTAAGAGAGAGAAAAATAGAGGAGAGAAAGATAAGAAATTAGGAAATTGTAATCAGGGCAGTATCCGGGGCGGGGCAACCGCCCTGGACCCAGCTTTGTAAATCCCAAAGTTTGTTCAAAAAGGGCCTCAAAATTACAGAAAAATAATGCCCATATCCGGAGTAAGTTGATTAGTGCAATTTATATATACCAATTCCCTCGATTTTCGCTTCCCCTTTTGTTGATTTATAAAAGCTAATTATCTCTTTTAATTTTTCCAAAGTCTGTCCAAATTCTATTATTCCAATATTTATCAAAAGAAATCTCTGGTAAAATCAATTGGAGATGGAAATTATTTTAAACGTTGATATAACTATTCAGCTTTCAACGCTTGGCATATTACTGTATCAAATACGACCGGTACGTTAAGTCCATAATTCATCTATATTGTTGTGAAATAAGGGAACATGAGAGAAATCGGGAAGAGAATGGATCAACTATATATATATATATATATATAATAACTAGGGTTTGCTTAGATAATAATAAACTCTAGATCTAGAACATTTCGGAATGATAAAAGAGGATAATGGATATCCACACAATATTTCATAACATTCCCCCTTGAATGTCCATTATCAATCCCGAAATGTGTGTCTCGTTAAAACCTTATTAGGAAAACCCTATGGGATAAAAACCTAATCAAGGAAAAAGTACAACATTCTTCGTAATGCGCTCGAGATGCTGCCTCATTAAAAACCTCACCAGGAAAACCTAATGTGAGACAAAATCATGGTTAAGGGAAAAAGAGTACAACGCGTATTTTCTCCCCCTGATGAATACATAACTTGAGATTATCTAGTGCTGCAATGAATCCAATATGGCTAGGTGTCTTCTCATATGAAGCAGAAAATATCATTCCTTGATCTTTGATCCTCCCAAATCTTCAAATCTTCACGCAAACAAGTGAGTCTTCATATCACCATACCTATGATAATAATACATGTGTTTGTTCATACTTCATTCAAAATCTCTGTTTAAAGTTGTCTTAACCATTATACTTATGTCTTCTTCTGGAGGTCGTGAATAATAGAAATTGATAATTATTATTTAATCAAACATTCCTTAATGGCAACATAAGATATTGTTAATGTTGCTCTTTAATCTCGTATGAACTAATATAACACATGTAATTAACACATGTAATTATATACATTGATCATGGTTCTTCTAGACCATAATAAAGCACTCTTACGCATAAATATCCCGTTGATATTCAGTAGAATATTTATAATTGACATGATAGTTCTCTTGCAAATACAAATAGTAATTCTCAGTAACTTTCATATGCTCAATCTTCAGGTTGAGATGTCAATGATGTTGTAACACCCTAGAAATTCCTTCTTTTTAAAATACATGTTTTGCCCTGTTTAAAACTTTAAATAGGAATATCTAAGACATTAACGCCACCGTGAAAACGGCTAAGGCAGCTACCAAAGACACACAGCGGAAGACTAATTTCAAAACCGTTCAAAACAAGTCAACTTGAAAAGTCAATCAACGAAAGTAAAGTCAGACCAAAGTCAAACGAAGTAAAATAAAATCAACCTACAACTTGGAAACGTTATAGGTCCTTATTAAAAACCAAACCAATAAATGTGTTAGTCATGCATAAGAATAATATCATAAGTAACTAAAGCATTAACACATCATATACTTATAGAAATAGCATGATTCGCTCTTCACTCATGCCCATTCATGAATATGCTTCATCACCTGAAAAGCTTCTCTTTACTTGTTTCCACTATTCTCCATTAAAAATGGGTCATCATAAGGCCAAGATAAAGACAAGGCCAACAAACCACTACAACAATTCACCACTTGTGCCACGAATTATGCCACGGGAATTCTAAATTCGTGGCATAATTTGATCTTGCCACTGGAAAAATTAAATTCAATAATAAACTTGATATGACAACAAATATTATGCCACGGGAAAAATGATGTTCTTGGCTAACTGAAACTAGTGCCACGACTATATGTTTTTCCCGTGGCAAATAAACACTTATGCCACACGTATTTATATTCCTGTGGCAAATAGACAGTGATGCCACGACAATATTATTCTCGTGGCAAACAAACACTTGTGTCATGGGTATTTTATTCAATGTGACAATCATTATAACACTTGTGCCACATCAAAATTTATTTATGTGGCAAACATATGTTAATATAAACCGACCATATTTCTTTTAAAGAAAATAAACTTAGTCTAATGATAGGAATCTTACGACAAAAATTCTTTTATTATGGTTAAATTTACAATTAGTTTCAAACATGAAATACAAATTAATATGTAAAACAAAAAAAATTACAAATTCTTTCAAATAAAATTGTTGGTTATGCACTATTATAAATTTTTAACCATATGACATTTACCCAAATAACATTCAAATAAATTTGTTTAAAAAATGTTGTATCTTATAATTATTGATTATTTGAAAAAAAACAATGTAGTGTAAAATTGCCAAAAAATATTTTGTTTTGCATTTTATTATTATTAATTTTTGTTTTTTTTTTCATTTGCATTTTTTAGAACATTAGCTTAGTCTTGTAAAATTGATGAATATATTTGATATTAAAAGTCATATGTTACAATAATTCTGAACAAGTAGAGCGGTACCAATGCAAAATACACTAGTACACTTGCTACGGTTTTATTCAAGCTTTTTGCTCTGGTTTTGAACC